ACGCAGTGATTCTCCAGGCTCCACTGACTATCTATCAGATTACTACTGACAATGAAATGAGTTTAAACAACTGTCTACCATGTGAGCAATGTAAATTTAGACTTCCATTAATTTTGAAATTGAGACAATATCTCACTCTACTAAATTTATAGGGAACTTGGATTCCAACTTTTGAAGCTCTGAACCACAGCTACATTTGACAAAGTAAAGAAAGAATCTCCCTTGTGATTTTAAGGGTGATTTTCTTAATTTAAGATACTCCACATTGGGAGCAAGGCCAACTGCATCAGCATCACAGAAAAAAATCCCTAGAGAACATTTACTATAAATTTACACATCAACTTATTTTTCATCGACTGCTCTATGTACACAAACCTCTAGCTGTCATTACCTGCCCAAGGAATAACAACAAAAATATTAACATCGAGAAATGGCAGACTTCCAGGCTAAACTGCCCATATTTATAGATTACAGACCAGACAAGACATATGCTGGGTTTCCAAAAGCACAAGGACAGACTGATACAGGCATTGATGCATTGAACACAGAATTGCCTATCTACTCAGACTTGTATCTAGTGTGTGTAATTCTGAGTTATGTGCACAGACACCCTCCTAGGAGTGCTCCTTGATTCTGAATAAACTCTGAATCCATTGCTCAAAGGGGCCTCCAACCCGGTCGGTGTGTCTTGGAATTGACAAGGTTAACAAGTAAACAACATTGCTGTTGACATTTTTAACAACAAAAGCAACACCAGTCCAGGAAACTCAAGCCACGAAAAACCCCCTCGTATAAACAGATGCAGGAATGATCAACACTTTTCCTGCTCTAGAGGCACGTAAAACAACCAGATTTTCAAACCCAGAGTGGGCCAGACAGGATGACACTGTGAGAATGATTGAGCCCTGTAGTTCCCACCACTACAACAGGAGAAGTGAGAAGAGACCTTGGGAAGATGCAGATGCAAGAGAGGGAACACTGACTGAAGGAGACAGAATAGATCGGAGGACAGGTTGCCTCCACAGAGAAACCAGTAATTCCTTAGACAATGCCATATACTTCTGCTACAAAAGACCAAGACGGGCCATCTGGGCTAGGAGATGAAGCTTAAAAAGCTCATAATTTTCCTCTAATGGGTAAGAATTCCATCACACCTGGAATTCTAACTACATCTTTTCATAGCCTAAACCATAACACTAAACTGAAGTACAGATTGAGAGTTATATAAACCTACTCCCATCTGATCACTGATCAGGAAATTTTAAGACCTAAATTTGCATATAGAATATTAAACTAGCCATTCTGGACTGACACAGCATCTTTCTTATTTTAGATATATGAAAATAAAACACTTAAATATACAGAATTTGTACAACAATTTCAAATTAGAGACAGATTTTTACAAAACTTGTAAGGGTTCAACAGTGAAAAATTGGCTTTGCATTAGCATTTTAAATCTTAGCAATAAAATAGAAAATAATAAAATAGCAATGGGAAGCTATCTTCATAATTGATCACTTTTATATGACTTCCTGGAGCACCAACATCAATTATGCTTGTATGTCAAAACAATGTTGGCAAACTGCCAGCGAAGATTCAGATCAGGGCCACCGATTCATTCATTTATTCCTTTTTGGAAATCAGTGACTGGTACAGCCAACTTTTGGTTGTTAAACACAAATACCATAGCATGAAGTATAATGAATTAAAAGCCAGCATGTCTTTGCTGTACGTATAAGTAAAAGGGGAAATGCACGTATTTTAACTTGCTTCATTGCGAGTTCGCAGTCAGCCACCTGCAAGTATAGTATTGACTGGCTGCTATTAGTAGAGTCTATCTCATAAGAAATAGGTGATTTCTAATTGTAAAGGTATGATATAACAAGGTATGCACTCTTTCAGAGGCCTTTATTTTCATTTCAGCCTCAAATATGTAATCAGTTTTATCAGGGAATCATTCAAAAGTATGATGTTGATCGAAGTGGACATGGCTTTCAGTATCTTATGGCACAAATAACATTTCTTTTCCTCAGCTACTTGATAATGCTTTTCCGGTTACAGCAGATTGGGTGCCTCTTGCTGTGTAATACATTGTTGCATATGAAAAAATCCCTATCAAAACAGGATATCCAAGGCAATCATTTATCTTACAAACATGAAAACATGATACATATTACTAAGTAAATGGAATGGTCTCAGATGCCAGTGCTAGCTTAGAGTCTTGCATCAGTGAGCCTGACCCTCATATAAACAACAGTCCATTGGGAGGCTGTTTATTACGGATTTATTAGAAACCTTGTCAATAACTTACTTGTGCTTTTGATAATTCTGTATTCGGTTGCCAGGAGACTTGTGTTCCTGACGAGATAAAACGAACAGGAAATCCTCTATAGCCTTGTCACTTTTTTCACTAGTAAATAAAAATCAGAACAACTGTTATAAAATACTACCTACTGTAAACAGAAGAGAGAAAAAAAGGGCAAGCATTGCATATTTTAAATAAAGCAACATACAGCCCTTTTTGCCCTCTCCACTTATAAGATGATAAAAGATCACCTTTATAAAGTAGAATGACCGGATTTTGTGGAACGTGGCTGTTTTGGCTCCAAGGTATTTGTAGCGTTACAGTATCAGAGCCAGGATACAGCTGCCTTGTGACTAAGACGTTGTTCACTGAATAAGTGCTATCCAGTCCCTCAACGTCACCAGACATCTGTTTCCTGTTTTCATTCTTTCTTTCACTGTTATCATTTTATCCAAGTTACCCTTTCACCTGAAAAGCATTTAGAAACCTACAGAAACTAGCGCGTGCACGCGTGTGTGTATCAAAGAAGTTGATTTAGAAAAAAATTGCTGAGAGCAATTTGTTCATTTTAATACAAAGAGCAGGAATTAAAACAAAGTTGCCTTCCCCCCCCCTCTCCTCCCAAAAATACACAATGATACATAAACACTTTTGTCTTCTGGTCTTCACTAATATGACTAACTTCCTTCTTCGCTTCCAGTTAAGTAGCTTTCCTGTCGAGTACCACCACCTCCACAAAATACAATTGTGAATTGATTCATAAAAACAGAAACATTATGGCACAAATAAGGGAAGGCAATAAATACTCTTCCCCCCCACCCCCCTTCCCAAATGCAGGCAGTAGTATTGTAATACCAAAAGAGAAAAAAAAAAAAAAAAAAAAAGGAGAAGTATTGCTTGTCATTTAAGGTTCCAAACCAACAATCATCAGGATGCAGAACAGGATACATCTAAAGTGAGAAAGTTATTTACTTCACATTCAAATTAACACTAGCTATACTTTTTTTGGCACACAGTACTACTCTTAATGTGCCAAGAAAGTGTTGTGCACCTTATAAAATATGAATGTTAACGCCACCAAGACCAAATTCCTGCTATTCACAATCCAGTTTTATATTGGTGTTGTTTTGCTATGTTTCACCTATACTTAAACCACAAGTCAGGAGAACGACCATTACTGATAGCATCTGAGACACATTAACAACGAACAATAGAAGCTGAAGAGTAAGTTGTCAAAAACTAGTAACTTTCCATTGGTAATCTCTGGATTTCAGATTATTTAATCAGCACGAGAATAGAAGACTTGTTTTATTTTGATGTGCAATTACAGATGTTCATAATAACTGTCAAGGCGGTTTGTTGAGTGAAGCAAAACTCTGGGCTGGTTGACAAACACCAACAAAAAAAGATTGATCCGCTTCTTGTTATTCTCTGAAAGAAAAAGAAGATATTTAATTTTTTTTTTCTTCCCCCCCCGCCCCTTGAGGCACACCAGCAAAATACAGGCATTAGACAGGAGAAACAGGAGATCCTGGCACTCTGAGGGCTTTCCCTAGGAGATGGGATGGTTTGGCAGCTACAGGAATCTGTAAGTAGCATTTCTAAAGGCACATGAAAATTGGAAAGCAAGACTTCTTCTCGTGTTCTGGTCTTCTGGACTGTTTCCTGCATCCTAATAACCAAATTATCACTATTTTAAAGCCAAATTCAGCTTTCATTAAAGTTTATGTAATTCTGAAGCATCTCATTGACTTCTGAGGAATCGGAGCAAGTTCCAACAGATTAACTTGGTCTCCTCTCTCATCTTTCAATTTACTGCTTGGTTGATCATCCCAAATGCCCAATCCTAAGCTTCCATATGAAACCTAGAATACTCTTGCATAGTAATAATATAGTATTCTGGATAGACTGATGAAACAAACATTTGTTGGAAAATATTATTTTTCAAGATTGTATCAAGTTGGTGTGGTTAAAATACTGTTTCCCATAAAAACAATTTGTTCATAACTTTTCCCAACATCTAAATTAATTTGTCCACTGTCACATATGCAACCTGTGATCAAGCTGAAAACTGAATCCTAATTGTGTACTTTATCCATCACATCCCCATCCTTCGCAACCTACTGATATTCATTGACTCGGGATTCCACTACGCATTTTTACTAATGACGTTACATTTGTGTCTGGACAAGTTTTAAATTCTGTTTGAATAATAAAAGCCACTGATTTAAGATAGTTATCTTTTTTTTTTCCCCTAAATTTAGAAAGAAAGTTCTTTTAAACTGCACGCCTTGTCTTTCTCGATTTCACCTGAAGGAATAAGACAAAAATGAAGTCCTCTCAAGCTCTCGTGCTATTGATGGCAGTGGCAAAGTCCAACACACTATTATGGAATTGAAGAGGTAAATGAATTCTTCCGTACTTTGTTATTTCTGGTGGTTTTTAGTTTCCCCCATCCAGATGGTCTACCTTTAGAGGTATTCAAGGTAACATTTTCTAAAACATAACGTTATTTAATATGATTGTAAAACTAGTATTAGCTTTGTACAGACATGTTTCTGATTTTAAATTGAGGGGGAAAAATATTAACTAATTATTAGATCAAGCTACTGTTTGGAATCATCCTCTGAAATAAATGCAACATGGAAACATTTTGTCTGAAAAAAAATAACTGGCAAATCATAGCAAGAGAAAGTGCCCTAACACACACGTTATGTCAAACTCTACTCTGTTTCCAAACGTTCAGACTTTTCATACACTGTATTATGACACTAAAAAAAGTTGAGAGCTACACCAGAAGATTACATAAACAAAAATTTATGTTTTGTCTAGTATAACAGGAGTCTTAAAAAAAAAACAAACACCACTTTGTATCCATTAGTTCATACCCAGATGTTTCCTGTACACCTGCAGTTGTCTCCAGTCCTGAATTCATGAGCTGTAGTATTTTAACAGCCTCTCATCAGTTGGTTTTAGAATTTTCTTGTCTGCCATGTTTACGATCCATCCTGGAGCAAGACCAAAAAATATCTGTCTAGGATCCTTGCGTGTGCTCAACATTTTGAAGAGTTCATCCTTGGTTATGTCTGGTAAGACATAGCCATATTTCTTGGCAAGTTCACGCCTGGCTTCCGCAACCTTAGATGGATCTGCCAGGTACCCACGATTTCTGGCATCTGTGTAGTAACGGACTAGATCTTCGGGTGGAAGCATTCGCTTTGGAATAGGCTGACCACGCAGAAAAAATACTACTGGCTTACATAAAATTTCTGTGGGCAAACATGAGAGAAAATTAGATACTATGCTTTATAATACATATTTAAAGACATTAAATTACACCTTCTTATTTAGTATTTTGTCCTAAATACATTACTAAACTCTTACTAAAAAGTACCAAGCAAAAACCCAAATCTTAAGAATACTCTTGCTCAGAATGAGATAGTGGTTAAGTTTCACCTCACCAAACAAGCAACTCTGTTTTAACAAGATATTTATAGTTACAATCTGGATGAATTCTTACTTCTAATACATTTAGAATGCCTACTTTGGAATGATACAATAACCAAGGTAGACACTGTCATTTATTTAAAGGACTGAATTCCAAGTCAGAAGCAATGCATTTGCACAGCTATTTAGACAGTGTGCCAACAAATGTCAAATTTAGCGTTTCTGTAAGTATTTTAAATAAAGAATCAATGGCACATGCACCTATTTAGTCATTTGTGAGACTATCCTCTCCTCTTCGAAGTTTTACTGAATTTGGCAAATTACATCCTAGATCCTCTTAACATTAAGATTTTGTTTATTTTCTGGATTGGAAAAAAAGAACTTGTATCACTCCATGGTAACATATTTTGCACACTGAAAATGTCTATTCCTCTTGTTCTCAGCCTCATTCATATATGAAAGCTCCGTTATTGTCATTAAAAACTGTATGAATGAATATTAGGCAGGATGCAGCCTCAAGTAAAGCAAAGCCTCATTCTTCAGTGAAAGTGTTCTGAAAACAATAGCCATTTTGACTGGAACGATTCTGAGCTTCTGTAACTTCTGCTACTTCCTCACTTTAACCAGAAAAGTATTTTAAATTAAAAATATAAACATCAATAGTGGTTTTTAAACCTAATTTTTTTCCCTGATTTTCTTAGTGTTACTAAACACGTGAGAAAGTTAGAAGACAAAAATTCAAAGAAACAATCTTTTATTAGTTCCTTTATTTACAAAGCTACTTGGATTTCCTTAACTGGCTGACTGGGAAACGATTAATAACACTGGTACGGCTAAACAGGTGGATGGTTAAAAAAAAAAAAAAAAAGAAAAATGACAACGCATTACAATTCAACATTTGTATTACAATGTGTTGTTGAAGCTTTTAGAAGTAGTGGATCATTTTCCAGGAAGAACTATGTTTGCAACTTTGATTTGGATCATTTAATCCTCACACATTCAAAAAAACAGGCAGAAATGAAAAGAAATTCTTACCCAAACTCCTTGGATCATAGAATGATGTTGTTACCACACCTCCATTTTTTTCTATGGTTGCAATTGCCAATTCAGATGCCCTCTGCACTTCAATATTTACTTTTGCTGAAAAAATATCAGCACCCTGCAAATTTCAACACACATCAGAGTAACGTTAACATGAATATTTTAGGACAGATGTTTATTCTTCTCTGCAAGGTTGTAAGAAACATTAAATCCTGCAAAATATTATGATTTATTTGTTCCCTGCACTGACAGGTAACCAAATTGCCCTCACTCAGTCACCTGAGTTGAATGAAAAAAACCAAACAACTTCGCTGTTCCAAAACATTCAAACATTTCTTTCAGTACATTCTAGTTTTCTGCTGTAAAATATGTCTTCGACCTCTTGTCATGTGCTCCTTAAGTATCATTTTTGTAGTCTCTCAGGTCTTAAAACATCATCCTGGGGTTTTTTGCTAACACACAGTGCCCTCTTGTGGATTTATTACCACAAAAATCCCACAGCAAACCAATTTTGAAAATCAAAGATGCTTCCAAAACACGGGAAGGACCATCTGACAGCCTGGTATGGAAAAAACTGAAAACCCAAGGCTTTATACTGCCTGAATTAATAAGTGTCTTGTGTGCGTACCTCCTCCACCAGCTGGACACCATAATCCCTTTTGAGAGGTTGTACTGTTACACCTCTGGCATTAGTGAGCTGTGTTAAGTCAATTGGTTGCGTGGGGTCAACTCTACCCAAATCAATCAGGTACTGCAGCCTCTGAAGACTGAGCGGTTGATACTGACGTCTGCGGCTGAGGAGAGGAAAACAAAACAAAACAAAACAATCAAAACAATGAGAAATTTACAAAACTGAAGCTTTAACAGGAACTGGTTAACTGAGATACAGCATGCTGTATTCCATTTTCTACCCACTCCTGAAACTACAAAGTAAATGTTTAAAACACACCCATCCGTAAGCCAAAATTTTAAGTTTAATGTAATGCAAATACAAGCCCTAGTTAAAGCCCAAGACACCATTATGCCTTCAGGTTTGCTCACACACCTCCACCTCGAATATGGTATCAATCATTTTGCTGTCGCTGAGCTCAGTTTACTCCAGAATACCTCTCTACCTGCTGTGGTTTAAGGAAGCAAAAAAGATGAAGAAATTAAAATGTCAGCATTTCTTGGTAAGCCAAGAAGATTCTAAATAACTACCATCTTCGAAGTGAATTCAGCTTGGCAGCTTCACTGATACATTCAGAAAATCCAACAATAACAAAAAAAAATACACAGTCAAAACCAAATACACTCTCTCCTTTCCTACAAATTTAGTCAAAGACTATCCGCCAAACCCTGTATGTGCTCCTACACAGCTTGCCTATAGCCAACAAGATGTTTTTATTCCGTTATCACTGTACCTGACATTCATAAGTATTGAATGGAATCTTCCTCAAAATAGCACCAAGAAAGAGAAATACTGAGAAAATACGCCTTAACTCATATCCCCAAAGGAAGCTGGAATATTCTGTCAATAGCCATCAGCTTCAGTAGAATCTACTTTTGCTTTTTATGAAGTTCTAACTTTACTATACAAACCAATCTCTAGAACAGTTTTCCCCATCCCAGTGTCTATGCCTACCGCATACCATTTATGCTGATGCTCAAAACTTTCTCATACAATCAGTTTGACAACTGCTATTGGAAAACTGTGAGTGGTAGCAGAAAAACTGAGAAAAACTTATCTCTGTTATTGACAGGCTAAGTAAGAAGGACAAGCAACAGAATTTGCACTATCAGACAGTTCCTAGAGCAAAAGTTCAAGAAGTAGAGGAACACCACTGCAGGCAGAAAGAAGAGTGAGGTGAAGATAAACATGCTGAGACATTATTCAGCATTCTCCCATCCTGCCACGATGGCATCTCTCAAGTGCACTTAGAACGTTCACTAGAAAAACACTTACAATAGCCTGACATCGAAATTTTGCAAACAACATTGAAAAGAAATTAGAGTGCTTTTTCGTTTCCACGTGCTGTCAGATGTGGTTAAAAACAGCAAGACCTTATTAATTTCTTGTCACTGCAGAAGTTTGGATTTTTGCTGTTGGTACCAATGAACTTGTGATCATTGTTAACATAAGGAGCTCAGTGTCTGCATTCTGCAGCATTTCCTTTGTAGGATGGTGGATCTACACTCTGTCTTCAGCTATTGAAAGTGCTTCTCACTTACTCTTGTAACAACTTAAGCAAACAAGAGGAAATGATAGTACTTAGAAACAGAGTTTGAATCACACTTCAAAACTAGTACGACTCACAGAGAAAACCTTTAATAACCAGGACAGGTCTGTAAGTTATACTGCATGCATAAAGAATGGAAATACAAAAACGCACAGCTATTTGATGAAGATACATCACCAAATGAAACATGAAATCAAACTGCAATTTTAACAGTTCAAACACAAATACGCATTAGTCTTTTCATTCTTAAACTGTCTGCTAGGTGTGGCATGTTTGTATTAGTACTGCCTACAACAGCATTGTATGGGTACAAGTTTTCATGATCATACTTAAAAGCAACAGAATGGTTAGTGACCCAGGTAACATACATGCTATCTTAGGAGACAAAAAACAACTTTAAACAAGAAAAAATTAAAAAAAAATCAGAATTTTGTAATTGTCAATGTAAGTGAAGGAAGTGAATAAAACACTGGCATACCGCTCTCCATCTAACAATAGTGACTGGAGAAAAGACATGTTAGAAGAATAATTTTAAACATTAAAAAGCTGGAAGACCAATATGACACAAACAAGCACAATGTGAAAAAAGGACAGAAGTGTCAAACAAGGCAGAATGCCTGAGGAGAACAATGATAAAAGATGACTCAATGGCCTCAGCCAGCAGATTTGATATCAAAGAGCTTGTTAAGATCCTAGGTGAAACAGATGGAGTACAGACAAACAAAGACTGCAGTGTTGCACGGCTAAAAAAGTAGAGTCACTTTTTTAGAGAGAGAAGAGAAGCAGAATTGTTTGGCTACCGGCAGATCAGAGCTTCAGGTGAATAAAGAGAAGAGAAATAACAAAGCAAGACTTTGGATTACACTTCCATGCCTAACATCCTCACTCGAGTCAATGGGACCGATCCCAGTCAGTTCAATAGGTTATCTGCTGTGCAGACAGGCAAAGCGAAACAAGCACCTACGGAGGAGTGGTCTCAGAGGAGAAATACACTCAGCTGTAGGAGGAACGGTAGCCTGCTACATATGAGGGATTATGCAAAGAAAAGGGTACATAAGCAGAGCTGTAAACCAACAGAAAATAAATGAATTCACTAAAAAATAAGCTCACAAGAAATGGGAGATTCTGCTGGTAAGGAAGCTAACAATCTGAGAGGAATCTCTCATTTTCAGTCAGGCTTGTTTTGGCATACTAGATTTCGGCTTCAGGAGAAAGATCAAGAAAGGCAGACAATGATTAATTTCTGAGTAAACGTGAAGAAACTTACCTATGTCCCTCGTTAAATCCATATTTTGGTATGGCCAAGTAAAATGGAGTTTGACCACCCTCAAAGCCTAATCGGGGGCGATTTCCTCTTTGTCTCTGTCCTTTGTGACCTCGACCACATTTCCTTCCTCCGTATCTTCCACGGCCACGACGCCTCTCCTTGAATACAATCAATGATACATTTAGTCAACTACTTTGGAGGTAAGTATCTATAAAACATAAGATTTCAGAGATATAAACAACTGAGCAAAATGCCGATTCTTGAGGAAAAATTAAGAGATAGCTCTTTCCTAAGGGAAAAAATAGAAAAGTATTTAATGTGACTTTTTCAGAGCACAGCTCGAGGCAGACACCACAAATAGCCTGAAAGTTTACACAAACACATATTGTGATAAAAGGACTACTAGTATTTAATCCTATCTCTGATACCCTACTCTCTCCAAGTCAGAGAATTTTCCTGAATGAACTATTGGTATTTCCTCCTATTTCATGAGAAAGTCGCTCAGGAGTTTCTGAACACTGACAACGAAAATAGAATTTAAAAAAGAGAAAAAAAAAAAATCAATTCTACTTCAAGGGGCGGGGGAACCAACTATATACGCTATGAACACATATAATTTTCATGGACTCAGACTTTCTAAAGAGTCTGTGACTGTTGCAATTTCTACTGACTACAAATCAAAAGAGAAGACTGTATTTTAAACCATTATTATCTTTAAATTAAGACTGTGATACTAAGCTATTAGTTTCCTGAGCACTTTAAAGTAGCATTGCAGCCGTAAGTAGCAGTGCAGCAACCTTCCTGCACTCACCTCCTATTGGTGCCAGCAGAAGCACTTGCACAGCTAAATGGTGAATGACATCAGAGAGATAAGCAAAGGCAAACTTTTGTTGTTGTTGTTTAATTTAAAATCCAGGTCAGTTGCACCATTCACTACAACTCATGGGTATGCAAATACCTATAGGATTACAAAATAGGCAGTAAGCAAGGGTGGAAATGAGCAGCTGGGAGTGACCGCTATTAAATGAAGAAGTGTCAACTCACTCTGACCTAACTAATAAGTCTTTCCATGTAAGATGACTTAATTTAATTCATATATTGAAGAATTTGCAGCACTAAGGTACACTTTGATTTCTTCATGCTTTGTCAGGGATAAGATAGAGCCACAAGCTTCAGAATCCTTGCTGCCCTGCTGCACATGGTAGAGTTCACTGTTCAGCTCCAAGACACAGGATCACATCTGCGCATCGCTTTCACGGATCCATTTGATCTTACAAAGTTTTTCCCATTTAAGCTAATATTCACTAGTGTGTAGATACATGTGGAAGGAGCAATGTCATGTTGCTAACTAGTCTCCTAACTGCATGATGCAATTCACACATTTGCTATTTTCCATAGCATTCCTCCATGCGAATCAGTCAAGCTGGGAGACATGTAAAGCAACACATTCTAAATGGTATTTGTACTGCTTATAAGCTAACTTTGGTTACGTCACAGCAGAGTCGCTGTTGGATCAATAATAAAGTAAATAATTCATGTAAGCCTCTTCAATTTCTCATTTTTTGTATTCAACACTCAGCCAACCTTCAAGCACCCTAATCCTACAAATCACTCTATGCAGTGAGAGTGCAGCACAGAACACTGAGTAAAACTCAGGTCTGAAAACTGCTTATCACCTCATGGTACTTGATTATTAGCCTAACACTACAAAGACATAGAAGTTGATGTTTTATGCTCCTTATTGTGTCTGTAAGTTTTCCAAAGTTACGGAGCACTTAATGTGCACTGAAACATTAGCAGAAAAGCCAGTACAGATGTACATCAGAAAAAAAAATGCATTAATATATTTAAAACATCATCTGACCTAAGATGCACGGCTGTATTAACATTAAATAGTACAGAGTTCAAGTGCAGTTTTATGCTATACTAGACCATCCCTGCCACCACAGGAAGGGATGTCCTGACTTGTCCCCAGCCCACACGCAGTGCTTCTTTACTCAAAGCGCCTCTTGCGCCGACACAAGCAGTTGTGTGTTCTGCGTTGGACAGGTCAGGGAATTAAACTGGATAAAAATTAATTTTTGTCTAACTAGTTTTCAGCTGTTTTAGTTCCCTGCTCTGGCTCTTCGCACAATCTCCAGCAGCAGTACAAAATACACAGCGTGTGTGAGCACTTGGAAGCAGACGGGAAGGCACAGGTGGTCCACCCCTTCTGGCAGTTGCCCGTGCACACACCAGATTACACAGTGACTTTAGTTAACACAAATACACTGACAATATCTGGTCACAAATGGAATGTAATCAGTACATTGACCAGATTTTAGATTGCCAAAGGAGCCAATCAAAACCTTTTTTTTAGCTGCAACTTCTGATTGTGAAGTCAAATGCTCTTAAATCTGCCTATCTCAGAACTTCCCTAATCACAGAATAAGGTCAAACATGAAAAGAAAAATACCAGAGAAACAGAGGTGAGGTCACTTGAACAAACTCTAATTGAAGGCAAACAGTTATCAGTAACATGGGGAAAAAGTGTTCATTTCCTAGATGCACTTGTAAGTTACTTGCTAAAGACCCAGTGATCATACAAAAATCTCTACTTTCAAGATAAAAAAAAAAAAAAAAGTGTTTTCTTAAACCCACCAGCTACCTTGAAAAACAAAGAGTCCCAAGACCAAACACTGGCAGGAAAACATCAGTTCTAGTAAACCTCTAGTTCAGACTCTCACAACTTCTGAATGCTGAGCCTGAAAATACCATTTTGGAGCCTGGATTAGTTTGAAAAACCTTAAGAATCACCACTCCAGCCCTCTACAGGGCTGCTTCTTCCCGCTCCAGTTGAACCTGTCCAAGCTGGGCATTCACAGCTCCAAGTGAAGTAACTTGACAGGGGAACCCCAACAGCTGCAGCAGGGAAAAATTTCTATTCTCTTATCTCGTCACAGGTTTACAACTACAACTACGCAGCGCTCATCAACTCTGCAGGGACTTCTAGGGACCCTTGAGCACTGACAGCAAAGCGCTGCTTGGTGCTCCCTGAAAGTTCTCTATTCCTATGACTTTAGCCCCTGAACTTCATCCCGCTGTTCACTGATATTCCCCCTAAACCAAGTGAGTTTCTTCCTACTTTCTTTTCTCTAATCCTCTATCACTTTACAAGGAGATAGGGAAGATAACGTTTAGTTTTCTTTTCAAGAAAGCAACAGTAACAAGAGGTGCTGGCTGGCATCACATTCCTTTTCTTTTTAAGCTCTTTAACCCTCCTTTTTCAAACGTATTAGCTCATCCCATAAACATGTGGTATTCCATAATTTTTTACTATTTCCACCAGCCCCCCAACAAAAGCCCTGAGGTTTAGCGAGGGCTGCTCATCAGCCAGGTCTCTGTGGGGACGGCCACGCACACCGGCTACAAGGCATACAAAAGGCAAGAACAGGGCCAACAGACACAACAGTGCCACTCACTCCTTTGCTTTCCCACGCCTATTCTGGCCAGGCCGCTCTCCTGGGCCAGCCGCGATCTCCCCAAAG